CCTGCGTACAACTGTTCCACATTCTCCCTCAGTCTCTACGACTTTTTTTTTTTGGATAGACCTTTTTCAAAAGTGTTGCTGTAAGAATGGTGGAACCCATTGCTGAAGTTGATGAGATTAGAAGTAGGAAAATAAAAACTGTTCTATGACACAATCGCTGCAGGATAAATGAAATAATAGAACATATAGCTTCAACCAAGATGAAATAATTATAATATTATAATATATTATTATTATTATAGTAATCATGAAAAAAAAGACTCAGAGATGCAGCACCCATGATACATGTAGTCCTAAATATCCAATATGTGTTGCACTGTTAAAATCAAATCAAATCAAAAACATTTTAAGCACAGCAGAATTCTATTGATTGACCGAATAAATCAACCTTATAACTTGACAATTACAGGGAGAGTTTCAGACCAGTGAAATCTTTTTTTTAGAAGGCAAATTCCTGAGTTTACTTAGGCTATTATTGTTATTACCATTATTATTAATGTAATGGTGATTTTGTGTTTTACATTTAATTTAACGATCTTTGTCTAAATTGTATAAGTACACATGTGCTTTCAATGTATTTCACATGCGTTAGCATTAGGCTATACTTTGATGCCATGCTGTGACCTTTGATGGATTTTAAAAAAAATGGTGTAGGTTCTGACCCCACCCCCAACCAACCTGTCAAGTTGAATCCAAACTGGATTAAAACTGGCTGAGTTCTCGCTGTGACAGTCAGACCAACGCCACCAATTACAACACAGCTGCCTGCTAACATGCAGCGCTGGTGTAATAGTATGTTCTTATTTTTTAAATTAAAAACTCATGAACACTATATCGCACCATTATGGGGGTTTGTGGCCACAGCCTTATTTAATCTGGTATTACCTGGTGGTAGTTTATGTTATCTAATGTGAAGTAAATTAGTTTGCTGACTTCTTTGCTTGTGATACTTTCCCTGTGTTAGTATGTTTACATTTTATTTATGTGTTAACAACCATTGAAATGTTAATATGTGACATACTAAAACATTGCATTGCTGTAGCAGAAGTATATAAATGTTAAAACATGAGCAAATAGTAACATGAGAAGCATCTTAAGTTTTCATCTTAAGTGTACTGAGATGAACAAACCTGTGCTTTTATTGTTAAGCATTTCAGCTGTGAGAAAAAAAAGATGTAAATGTCGCTCCGAAAAGTGACAGTCTCTTATTTCTATTATATCTGTAGCTGAGTGTGGTAAATGCAAATTTGAGGTATTTTTCCTCCTGTCTTTCATCACTAACTAAACAGTAGACCCCTCCATCGATATCAAACTGAGTTCCTGATTTGAGAAGCAGCTGCTCTCCAGCAGTCGGCCTCCTGGGGGATCCTGTGTCCTGTCTGTGGTTTTGTCTGATGCTGTGTGTGTAATTGTTTGGACCAAATGCGAATGAGGCCACTTTCACTGCGGCTGCACCTGTGCCCCGCAACTGGGCCTTGTTTGTTTACTTATCCTGCGACCGTTACTGCGAGCTTCATGCTTCACTACACAAGAAACAGCAGCTGTGTCAATTGTTTTGAAGTCCGGTAGGAGGAGTGGCTTCATGCTGCAGCAGTTCGTCTTGATGACGATCATGGCCACAGATGACTAATAGATCATTGGGTACATTGGAGGATTCTCTAACTGAAGCATGTACGTATGTGAGCTGGGGTGCAGCAGGTGGGCTCACAGGAGCACGTCTGTATAGGGAAACGACAAGGTTCTGCTGCATTGCATTTACAGCATGCTGCCTAACATATACTGTGGACTAACTGAAAATAGATGTTGTCACAGGCAAAAAAAACCTTCCCCATGTCAGGCGTCCTTGCACCAGATGACCTACAGCAGGACCAGTGTGACATTAAAACCCACAACCTTTGAGTTTTTGTCAGCTGCCTTGCCATTATGGAAAAAAGTTATTTCCAATGGGAAAGAAAGCAAAATATACACATGGGGCATATTTGCACAGAGGATTTATTAAAGGGTATAGTTGCACAAATCATAAAAAAATTATTTGGATGGTGCAAAGCTGGGCAAACTTTAAGCACACACAAATCTGCTGTAACAATGCTAAGCAAAATATTCTGTCCTCAAGCCATGAGAAGCAAAGAGCAAAAGCAAATCTGCATCACATTACAATTCTCAGTCATGACATAAACTGTTTGTAATGCATCTTAACTCGTGCAGGCTTTTGTTGGATCCCTGCCATAACTCCTCAATAGATCTTCTCTCCTAAACATGTATGTCGCAGACAGCCCTCCATAAAAGGAGCATGGGAACAGCCCTGGTTGCCAAGAGAGGTCAATCCATATGATCTTCTGTGGATTTCTTAATGGCCCACATTCAGATGAGCTGTCATGCAGCTTCAGGTGCACATATTTTACTACTTCAAAGTTTGTTAAAAGTAAAGAGCCATAACAACACATCTTATAAAGAAGTTTAGCAACAATGAAACATATAGGGCACCTTGGGTCGGGCTTTCAGAGGAATAATGTGTGAATGGGGCACCTCATGAATTAAGAGGCAGGGGATGTCTTTTGTTCTCTTTGGGCTGAGGTGAGGTCTGTCTCAGACGAGGATTATCCCAGGCCAAGTAGAGAATGCCCCTTCCCAGTGCCCAGTCATCCAGCCCAGGATCTATTGTGGGCACTCATCAGAGCCTCTATACATTTGCATATCACCAGCGTGTGAGCAAGACAGTCATTAGGTTTGTAGGATAAAAGTTAGTTTACAGAGCCTGAGTCTGTGCAGCTCACTGCTCAGATCTCAGCTCCTCCACTAATGACTCATTTCCTGTCTTCAGTTACAGATCATAAAAAAGAAAAAAAAGGTGAAGAAAATGGTGTAAATGAACACAAGTCAGAGGGAGCATTGCATTCTGTGGCCAGGCAGTATGTGTGCATATGTGTGTTAACTCCACCTCGAGTTACTCCAGCAGCTTCTCCTCCTTTCTCTGCTCCTGCTCCATCCAACCTGTTTGCATGTCTCTGTCAGCGCGGGCTGGGGAGCTCGTGTTCAGCACACAGTGAACTCATTGACCCCAGCTCTGCCGGCAAAAACATCTCACTCTGCCACCCTCCCCATCCTCAGTTCGAACTCTGTAACCTCATTCGCGCACAGCTCTGTGCTTTAGGATCAGGCTTCAGGAGACGAGAGTTAATGTTTAACTTGAGGATGAACTTGGTCCAATTCTTTTTGGACGGAGTTCCAAATGTTATACCTCATGTCTTGCTTATGCAGTTACCTAAAACTCTATATTTTGAAATGTACTTAACAGAACCATTCTCAATATGACAGTTCTTTTACGAGTGGTTGTTTTTTCAATTAGGAAGTAATAGGAATGTTCTTAAATTAAATCATTCAGCAATAAATTAAAATTTGCATGATAATTGAATTGAATATGAGTCAAATTCTTATGATTAAATAGTGCTGAATGGATCTGTTGCCTGACTATAACCCAAGAGCAGCATTTCAGAGAACCACTCAGACAATCTGTCTGTTGTTTTCAATGTGACTGTCTCTATCTCCATACTTTGTACATCCCTGTTGAATCCTGCGGTTGGGGACATCTGGCTTCACTAACTGCAGGGAGCTGCTTTTGGGTTCACATGGGTATTGAGGGGAAATTCCCTGCTAGTTCATCTTGTGCTGCTCTTTGGTTTTTTTAACATTGTACCCACCACGCAGCACAGTTCTGAGGAGCATATTAGGAAGATTTTGTCCAGAGAGACCAAAGCAGTACAGTATACGTCTGTGTCCTGTGTTTTACTGTTTCTGTTCCTGTGAGAAGTACCGCAGGAGTTGCCTTCGCGTCCTTTTTTCGGGTTCGGAACATAGAATTAGAGAAATCAAACTGAATGAGGTTTTAGGTGTATACGTGTTCACACAAGGACAACTGTGACCACACAAAGAAAAAATGGAGGCAGTTGGGTAAAGCCAAACAAATACAGCCCGAAGTAGCTCTTTCAGTAGTGTAGTTGTAAAACTAGAAGCCTGGGTTCAAGACAAAACACAAACAAGGTTGGATTTTCAAACAGCTGTGGTGATTTTGGAAATCACAGGAAACATATGAATATTTCATACTGTGAGGGGTGGGGAGGGGTGACCAATAAAAACACAACTAAAGTCAAACAACATAGACCTAAAACTAAAAATACTTCAATGAACAGTAGTACGATGGAGACAAGGTTCTAAAAAAATGTGAAAATAAAAATGTATGCTTTAGTTTTTATCCATAAACTTTTATACTGTCATATACGACAAATAAACAAGATAAGCAACTGATTCTGTTCTCCTCCATGGTCTTTGTCACTGTTTATCATTTTGAATGACGTCCATTTCTTCCACTCATCTAGCTGTATCTTGTAGTCTTAGGCCATGATTCAATTTTTCCTCTACTTTATCCACTTTTCTTGGTTTGGAGAGTCCACCTTACCCCTACCTCTTGTGATTGGTTTCCTACTAGCTAACTAGCTATCAGCAATATTCTAACCAGGTACCTTGTAGTATCTTCTCTATGAAATGAAAATTACCAAGTTAAAGAACCATGTAACTCATTGGAATGTTATATCCTAGTATCTTTGGTGCAGACATGTCATTCTTTAATGAAAATACATTTTAATATGATAGAAGAAGACGCTGTATATCTGTAACTATAAGTAAAAGTTGCTTAGGTGCTTGTAGTTAACTTAATTTTGTTGTACTTTTCCTGAACTTATCTTTAATTACATTCACTCACTTAGTCTGGTAATTTGTTCATCATTATATTCATTAGCTGATGCAGATGATGAAGTATTTATTTGAATGACATGACTTTAAAACTTTTGAACAATATTTAATGTTTTCATGGATTGACCAATTTGTGGCCCAGTGCCATAAAAAAGGTATGTTGGGGAAACAAATCATGCCTTTAGCTAAATTGTAGCCTGCACAGAACGTGGATGTCAGACAACTTACAAACAATTCACTCTTTTCTCATCCAGAACTCCATCAGACACAACCTGTCGCTGCACAGTCGGTTTGTGCGTATACAGAATGAGGGGACAGGAAAAAGCTCCTGGTGGATGCTGAATCCAGAGGGAGGAAAGAACGGAAAGTCACCTCGACGCAGAGCTGCCTCTATGGACAACAACAGTAAGCTGGCCAAGAGTAGAGGAAGGGCGACAAAGAAAAAGGTACAATTAGTTTATTAAAGTCTGTTATCGCCATTCTGCTGAAGTGTATAATACCCTGGTCATTTTGTGGCAGTCTGTGTGAGGTTTTTCATGTTTTCAGATGGCTCTACAAGAAGCGGTTGAGGGAGGAGCTGGCAGCCCTGGCTCCCAGTACTCAAACTGGCTAGGGAGCCCAAACTCCCAAAGCAACGAGGACTTTGAAACCTGGAGCTCCTTTAGGACGCGCACCAGCTCTGATGCCAGCACTCTGAGCGGTCACCATTCGCCCTTCCATCCTGAGCAGGATGACCTGGGGGAGTCTGACGGCCACATGATTTATTCTGGAGCAGTGGTGCCCAAGATGACCTCCACACTGCCCAGCCTGTCTGAGGTGGCTGGATCTTTGGGCCAACATGACTCAAACATCGTCATGGAGAGTCTGTTGGATAACCTACACCTGCTGTCTCCTAAAAACCCTACGCTGGGTTCTGACTCCCAACATTCCTCAAATGCTGCCATACTTCAGAGTAGCCCTTACAGCTCATCTGGCTTGACCCAGCACTCACAGCAGGACTACCGAAAGTGCATGTACGGCCCAGTGGGGATGAACTCCTTCTCCCCTACTCCCATGCAAACTCTACCAGAGACCAAGCCAGGCTTTGGGGCTTATGAGAACCAGTATATCTGCTCTGCTGGTCTCCTTAAAGATTTGCTGACCTCAGATGCAGACACCAGTAGGGACATGATGCCCTCTAGGGAGACACTGGTGTCTCAGGTCGAGATGGGAGGCTGCCTAATGGCCACTTACAGCAGCCAAAGCCATGTGGGCCATCACAGCGGAGTAAAAATGATGAATCTTCCGCAGAGGCACCCAGTTCCTCGTGTAAATCCACAAGCTATACATAACCAGGGACCTTCAACCTCACGAGACTTGAATAGCTGTAACATGATCCCACTGACTGCCCTGACTAGTCCTTCAGGGGCCCCTCCTCAAATGACGAACCTGAGGACATACATGCATTTGCCCCGGGGACACCCAGCACACGCCAACAATGTCTCAGTGAACTATAGCAGAAGCAATGGCTACAGGGAACATAACTTGGTTCACCCACATGGTCATCATCACGAACGGCTTCCCAGTGACCTGGACAACATGTCCATCGAGAGATTTGAATGTGACATGGAGTCTGTCCTCCATGACACGCTCATGGATGGCGGTGCGTTGGACTTTAACTTTGACCCTGCAGCTGGGCTTAATGGGTTTCCCCAAAGGGTAAAGACCACCACACACAGCTGGGTGTCAGGCTAGGATACATGATGGCTCACACAAAAGGTGCAACTGAGAATTAGTCTGGCAGTAAGTACAACTTATTAAACTTTCAACAAATACAATTGTATTTGAATGTCCGTTATCAATAAACAATTTCCATTTCCCCTCACAGGTTTTCTCAGCATCATGCTCACAACCATTCAGAGACTGGAAAATGTAAATCCAAAGAAGCTGCATCCATCTCTCCCCACAGAGCCTCTGACACACGTTTTTTTTTTTTTGCAGTTGTAGCTCCATGTACAACAGTGAATGTTACTTTTCATTCAAGAAGATCATCATCATTCAGATTCAGATATAGAATTAAAACACAATTGTTGTCATTCATAACAGCATTGAACATCTAAAGAAAGAAACTGAATGAAAGACAAGCCTGTATTTGCAAACTAGTCTTGTTTACATGCCTGTGAAAAACTGGAAATATGTTATATTTGCTTAGATTTGTGGTATGTTGAAATGTGCCTGACGTGGAGCATGCATTTTTCAATATATATGATGTTGGGCCAATCTGGTATCATCTGATGAAAGGTGCCAGGACTGGATGCCAGCTTGAAATTCATTGTTCTGAAGATGGCACTGAAATCATATTACTAAATGTTAAATTGAATTGAATATCCCAAAACCTGCCAACTGATCTATGGTCTGATCAGTGACAAGATTTTCAGATAAAGATATTTTAGCATCCAATCCTCAATGGATGCTAAAATAGCTGAACAAAATAATCTAGAAGAAATGTGACAGAAGGATATGTTCAGGAAGAGACATTTAAAGGACATCCCATAGCAGATTAATATCAAATGTCATCAGGCTTAAATGATAGATAAAGCAGGGTATCATCTGCATAGTGATTATTATTAAATCATGAATATAATAAACTCAGAGGAAATGCATTGTGACAAAAGGATAAATTCACAAAGAGATATCTGAACAACACCTCACAGCAAATTAATATCACATGTCATGGTACAGTGCTGGCAAATTAAGGGCTATAGTCAAATATCAGCCATGTCTGCTCACCAGAGATCATGAGTCAAACTGCATCTCTGACTGAATTAAATTCATCGATCATATCCTTAATGAAAATATTTATTTTAATGGGTTTTTGTTGGATTCTTGCAGCTGTTGGATTCTTGTAAAAAGTTGTGTGCCTATGCTGTGTTCAATGTATATACTTATTTGAGTTACATGATGTTTTTGTCCTGTATTTTATTTTTTATGAAACTAATACAGATGAAGGAATTTACAGAAACACCGTTGCCTTCCGAAAAAGTTTTGACTGAAAATGCATATCAATCTTGATCAATACAAAAATCCAAAGCTATTACAAAATCTCCCTGTTCCAATGTTTCCATGCAGTAATCAAGTGCTGTTTAGAGAATGTGAGTGTCGGGGAATTACGATCAATGAGATTAATGAGCGTCTGCATGTTCATTTTTGATTATGAGCGTTGCTGTCAGGGGCAAACCTCCCTCTTCCCTTCAATTACACAAACCTCTGTAGGAAATTTTATCGCGTTTGAATCTATAAAAACATTTCAAAACTGGTTAAACTAAAATTACATGGTGATCAATTAGAGCTGTTTCCATCACTTTCTGATAAAGGGACTTTCTGGGAAATTTGGGGATTTACAACTGATAAAGACTTGCAGAGTTGCTCTTTACTCCACCAAACATATTTGAAGGAAAGTATTCTAGATCATTATGCCTACATGGTCTCACAATGGACTAATGTTGTACATATCATTTTCTGTCGTACATTTTTGTATATCAAGATTTTAAATGATGTTTTACTCTTTTTGACTGTTTTAAGAATGGTTGTTTACAAAACTTAGTCCAACCTATATCAATAAATATATGAACACTCATACCTCAAAATATTGTACCTCTGAAGTGTTGAAGGGACTTTTCCTACCATTTTTCTCAGTGATGTATTGGATTCATCTTCATATTTGTACACACTTTTTGTATTTGATTAAGGCTGAGACAAGTTATATTTGGACCTTTTCATCTGTCTTTGCCTTTCTAATGTTTGAGGATTATAGCCATTAGTCTGTAGTAAATGTGATTGGACACCACAGTATATAGAATTTAAATTAAACAAAATGTGTGAGACGTTACGCATTTCAAAAGACTGTTTTTTATGTGTATCTATATGTTCAAGCCTGGTATCACAAAATATAAATGTGTCAATAACATATCAAGCTCTTAAGTGTTTTATTACTTACTTTTGTTTTGCTCTCTGCATGTCATTTCATCATTTATCTAGTGAATAAGTCAGAGCCCTAATTAAAAATAAATATGGAAGCATTTTGAAGGATCAACATATTGTAGTGACCTTGCACAAATATGATTATATCTCAAGAAATTGTTACATTTAATTATGAAAATAATATCTACACATAAAAAATATGTAATATTTTACATATCACAACTACTTCTGTGCAGAAATCACAGTCTTATTTTGTCTTTGACATTGACATCCATATATTTTAGAAATCTAATACATTAATCACAATGTGATTAACAATTAAAGAAAATAAAACAGAATTTAATTTGTGTGTCTTTATCGTAGCAGCATTTTAAGGTAAAATAATGCAGAGTAAATTCAACTGATATCAAGTCTTAGGTCAGTTTGAGGCTGGTGGAAGATATTTATTCCCTTTTTAGTGGGTTTTTGAAAAACTAACTCTTCCAAACAGCTTTATTTAACATCGTTTGAAGTCACAAACTGGAACTCTACAGTCACAAAGTTCATTACACATTGAGGATGTTGAATTCCATTCTGAGAACACCGACAAACCGACTACTTTCTGTAACCACAGGGAGATTCTGGCAAAGAGAAGTTCTGGGGATTTGAGCAGGTTCTTATTACTTGAACTGGCAAACATCATTCACTTTCAGAGCTTGTATAAATATGTGTTTCCACAGTTCCTTCAGCAGTAAAACCAAACCATTGAGTCATGTGATTGATATCTTAAATTAAATCTGAGTGTAAATTCATTGGAAGGGCAATGAATGAATGAAGCGTGTTACTGCTGGTTCACATTAAATACATTACAAAAACATACTGTGCCTTTAACACAGTGACTTCAGTTTGTTTTCAGGGTATCAGCCCAGGGCAGGACCCAAATTAAAATGTCATCATGACTTTTGATCACTATCAGGACTAATTTCATTTCGTCCTATAGGGGCCTCACTCAGTCTCTGCACGCTCTTAGCTAACTGGTGTTGAATGAGCTGTGACTTGAACAGAGGGTGTACACCAATACATCTAGTCATTTCCTCATTAATATAAATGGAAACCATTAGAACACATTAAGGGTTTCTCAAGGACTCAGTATGTTTCCAACAAACTAGGTCACACAACATGTTGCTGTCACAGCCTCATTCTGTGTCTCTGGGGTCTCTATGAAATGTTTTAATATAAGATGTATTCATACAGTAGATAATGAGATAATATATATCATGGATAAATATTGGGGTGTTGCTTTCACAGGCATGGTTTGATTGTTTTGATTGATGTCCTCACATATTCCTCTCTGTCAGAGGTCTGCTGGCTAATCTGACAATTCATAGTATGAGCAGGCTACAACCCACAACTTCAGAATTACCTTTATGGCGGCAAATGTGAACAAATTGGTGGTTGATCATCTTTATTGACTTTAAAATTGTATTGATTGCCTTAATAAAGGATAGGCTTTCTGTCAAAAATGATGGATGGTCACCTCTGACCCCCCACCTCCCCGCCTTGTTTATTTGACTTTCTGTGTGGATAGACTTTGACCGAGTTTTAACCATTTTTAGCACTTTTGAAAAATCCCAGATTTAACCTTGAACTAGTTTTAACCGTTGTTTTTTTGTTTGACCTTTTCATCAAAGGGGGGTGGGGGGGGGAGTTAAAGTGAACCTTGAGAGTCTAAGAATTTCTATTTAAAATGCTTAAAAGCTCTTTTGGGAAGTCTGCAGAAACACCTGGCTCACGTCACATGACTGGACATTTCAGCTAAAAACATGTTGTAAATTACGTTGTTTTCGAATTGAATTTGAATGTCGGGGCTTATGAACACTTGGATGAGACCACAGGAGCAGTATGGAGGCATTTTATGTTTTTTTTTGCTTTACATATAAAAAAGCGGTCACCATTTACTTAAATTGTATTGGGGAGACTGAGACTCAAACACTTCACGCCCCCCATCTGCATAGTGGTGAGTAGATAATGAAAGCGTTTATGGGTGAACTATCCCTTTAAATTACTTTTATCTCTATTATAATTAATATTGCCACTATTATTAATGTGCATCCTTCTATGGTTGAAAAGTGCTCTTTAAGTTAAGTGTTATTATTATCATTATCTTCATCGTCAACAAAAGTCTATCCTTGAAACATCCTTCTCATATTTGTAACTTTATTTCCTGTTTTATTTTGACATTATTAATATTTGACATTACTAACATTTCCTGTCATTCCTGTCACCTGACAACTGTTCACCTGTTACCTGATTACTTCCTGTCCCTGTGCTTCCCATCAAGAAACCCCTTACGTGTTCTGCTTTGTAGTCCTTAGCCTGATTGACATGTTTGTCCTCATGTCCTTCCTGAGTGAAGCCTCGTTGGTTGCTGGAGTTTGGCGTGCTCCTGACCTGTCACCCTGCGATCATCTGGACTGTGACTGTAAGTACACAAGACATTGACTTCATACCTAATCCCTTGTCTCCTGAGTGATCTTTGTGTTTGAGTCCCATCACTAGTGTCTCAGTTGTTTACAGTAATATGAAACAAGCCAAGGTAACAGGTTTTACTGTGCACAGGAAATATCTCCACTCCAGATTGGGATTTTTATTTTGATCTGCACCAGACTTCACACATTCATAAATGTCCTCTATACATGCCTGATTTTATTTCAAGATCTGTGCATTATTATCTGAGAAACTGAGAAAATGTTGAACATTGCAATGTTAAAAAAGGTGAAACAATAATAATTCTGGATCTGCCTCCTGATCTGGATCCACGCAAAAATGGAATGAGTTCTACCTTGAAGTTACATGGTAATCCATACTTTTCATAGTTTTTACATAATACTGCTAACATTCAGACAGACAGATGAACACAGACCTCATTATGGGAAGTAATAAGAGATAGTAGATCATTACAGCACAACCTTTATTGACACTTTGGTCTCAGTCAGGTGTGACAAACATGATCTCACTTACAGCAGGTTCATTTTTCCTGTATGAAAATAGGCCACATCGCAGCCACAGCAGGATCCTTGTTTGTACAGGAGCAATGTTCAGGAGAATCTGATAAAAATATCAAATATTCCAATTTTGTGCATCTGAAAGGACTTTCTGACTGAAATATATAGTCATTTTGTGTGATTTTAAAAATGTGTGCGTTCACTATTCTTTCATCACTGACTGTTTGACCATAAGCTTTTTTTTTTTTTTTTTTGAAATAGTAACAGAACCAACCGTCATCACACAATTAATCCCACCATGAGAGCCATTCAGTGACAATATAGTGCCTGAGTGGTGGTTGTTGTTTCCAGGGCCGTGGGGTCACCTCTCCTGCCTGACTGCTCAATATCGTGTGGTAGCAGGAACTAGCTGAGTGGGGAGGCTCACTGACACTTATTTGTTTGACTCCTGCACATGTTCTCTGCTTCATTAGCCATAAAACATGCACCTTTACACAGCCTAGACTTAAAGTATGAACTACTGCCTGTTCTGGGCCTTATTGCTTAAAGAAAAAAGGTGAAAGACTGAGAGAATATAACATGAAGTGATCAGTAACATGCTCAGCTGTCACACAAATGGGTGGCCCTTACAGCTATTGACTGTATGGTTGATATAATAGCGGTTTCTGCAGATTTGTCAGCTGCAGAGTCTCGGCTACAAGCAGCGAGGAGACTTTCTGGATCCTGACGAAGAATGAGAACACAGATGTAACACAGATGTAACTAACAAACAGTTGCACAAACATTTTCCTTTCCACTCGAAGCAATTTCTCCAGAATAGTCAGTTTCTTACATATTCTTTTCAAGGTTCTGATACTACTAGCACAGGCGACAAACTGATCATCTGATATTCCCCCTCTAAAATGACACATAGCCAAAAATTACAACTTTATTCTCTTAATTTTACAACTATAGTCTCATATAATGACCTTATTCTAGAAATTTCAGTTTTTCCCCTTCCCTTAAGTAGAAGGAAAAATAAAATCAAACCACCTGAACCACATTTATTCAACAGCACTTCTCTAGTAAACTCATAAAATAATGTGCATCAATATTCATAAATGAGTCACATCTGCTGGATTGCATACAGTAAAAGTAGTGATTTATGAGGTCCTATGCCTTAAAATTGAGATTACGGTAAAAAGGAATATAGTCTGTTCGTAACCTATGGCTGTAATTTATCACTTAAAGATTCAGTGTGTAGAATTTGGTGATATCTAGTGTTGAAATTGCATGTTGCAGCTGAACACCCCTCACCTCACCCTCTCCTTCCAAACATGAAAAAGAACCTGTGGTAGACTTTAATTGTCATAAAAACTCAAAAGGTGTTTAGTTTGTCCAGTCTGGACTACTGGAAAAAAAAACATGGCAGCCTCTGTAGAGAGGGTCCCCTCGATGTAAATGAGACTTGCTGTACCTCATGACACAGATTGGGTTTAAAGGTGTCCTGCTGTGCTCTTGACGCTCATAATTGACTCATAGAAAATGCAGCAAAACCTCCATTAACATCTGCAGGGATTGGAAGATGACTGTTTGTTCAAGGCACCGCTGACCTGAATTAGATTATTCCTGCCATGCTTGTATAAATAAGGTGGACCTTTGTTCACAGGTTTCACCCATGGGGGGGTGGCGGCCTGGGCATGCGAGCTGGGGTCCGGGCTAATTTATCCGTGCGGCCATGGCACAAGGCCAGGCAATTAGATGGTTTGGGTCATTGGAGATAATGTAAGCTTTGCTAATGTAAAAGACAGCATGCACATGAGCACCCAGCATCAGAGCAGCAATGCATTGCTGTGTCTCTCAGAAGGAGGCCAAGATTGAGATGAATTCATGATGAGGTTAACCTGACAGCAGCTTGCTGATCAGTGGAGTCGTATAATGTTTGAACAGGAAACAGAGAAAAATCAGGTCGGTTGTATGGGTGCAAACAACAGTGGTTACCTGTGACCGAGCTGGATCATGGCTCTGGGTGAATGAATCAAATCAAATGCTTTTACGCCTATAAGAGAGAAGATGGTTGATAAATTGGTAGATGACATTATTGTTTTGTTTTTTCCTCTTGAAGGGATAATCTATAATTTCAGTGTAATAATTTTATAATGTTAAGCCCCCTAATGTTATTACCTCCGCTAAGGAGGTTATACTTTCATTTTGTTTGTGGGCTCATTGGTTTGTGAGCAAGGTTGTGCAGGACGGTGTGTTGGAGGGATTTCTACGAAATGTATGAAAAGATGTGGCGTGGGTAGATAATTCATGGAGCTCGAGGGGGGGGGGGGCAGACAGATTTTTATAAATGATATCTATGAGTGTGTGACTCTCATTTGGTGCAGCTTGATTGGATGTTAGAACTGTTGGGCCTTTACAGACATATACTACAATTGAATGCTATTCTAGTTTCATACTGTTTTCAACTGTTGGACTATTTACCCAAACTAAAAAACAACATGGATGTGAAGTGTTATAATATACGCCAGCTCTTGAGTGTTGTCTTGCCTAAGACATGGTCATGGTGGCCATGTTTCAGAATGAGTAAATAAGCCAACACTAATAAAAAAAATAGCACAACTCAGATCATTGGTACTGGGTAGAGTTAACCCAGTATTGACTCAGTTTGTGTCAATTTGGATACAATCGGTTGATATTGTGAAGAGTGGTCGAGCAGGGTAGATCCTACACTTCCCATAATGCAGCAAATCTCAGTCCCAGATATGACATAGTAAGAGCTCCTTTCTAGCTCCATCCAGAATCACAATGTACACCATCACAATTGCATTAATGTAATCATCTTTGCTGAAAAGTTTGTTAGTTGTTGTTTATTAGTTGTATTTCACAAAAACTACAGGACGGATTATCATAACTTGGTGGAGGGATGTGGTATAAAGGTCAGAGGAATTATCAGAGATTTATACTTCACGGATCTTGATGGGGAAAACATTTTTTTTATTGCAGATCCAAAATAAAATCTGGATCTACAATTTAAATGTTTCATGAGGAGACTGTTGGACAGAAAAGTCACATGGTTCTCTGAACTGCAGTGCTTACTACAACAGGAAGTGACTTCAATGTCAGTTTTTGTCTCTTCTTCACATCTTCAACATATGAGTGTTTCAGTTCTACAGCACAGTATTTGAGCGGCACATGAGGGACGTCTTCTCTCGGACAGGCCCCGTTTCCTCAACCATTGTCCTTTTTCAGCTTCTGTGTGAACAATTAATGTCAGAAAATCTCTAAAATGTGACACCGCTACAACACTGAGACACTAGAACACCGTCTGGTGAAATACACACAGCTTTCTTTTTTACAGCGTGAACAACCACCGCAGGGAAGTCACACCATCAGTTACTGTATTGGTGTAGCTGCTCATCAAGGGTCCCTTTTCATGCATGAATTCACTGCTCAGCTTTAAACTTAAAAAATGAATGTAATGAACCAACTGTTGACATTTGATCATAATGAATGTAGTTCTTGAAAATAACAAAATTCTTCCTTTTTTTTTATGAATGTGTGTGTGCGTGCAAATGAAAGCCAGCGAGTGTGACTGTGTCATTTTGGCAAACATCAAGTAAGTGCTGCTCAGTATCATGTGCTGCTTGGAGGCTCCAACACAGTTTTTCTTGCTTGATCTGGATTTCTGCTGAAAACATCTTCAGGGACTGAGATGAGTTTATCATCATTATACTGCATTTCTGTAACAGACTTTTCTCACAGCTCATAGTTTGATTTTTGTGCAGTGGCGGAAGAAGTATTGAACTTTTCTGAAATAAAAAGTAGCACTACAAACAGTGTAACAATGCTCCATTGTAACACATGAAATTACACATACATGCATATAAGCACTGCATAGATTGATCAGTAACGATGCACCATGACCTATGTGCAATGTAACTATATGTTGTGAAGATAGTGACATAGAAAGTATAAATTGTTCCTCTGGTTACACGGTGGCAGATTTATTAGGATGTATAAAATGTAAATAGTAAAGTAAATAAAGGAACCTTTATGAACTGTGTTACTTCCCATCACTGTCCAGCTCTGAACATTGTGTTAAGTTTAAATGTTCCACTAATTCATGACAGGATGCAAAATACGAGCGTCCTGGACCTAAATAGTACTTATCATTATTTACATTGTATTATTATTTATATTGTATCATCTGTTTTTCAAAATGACATGTGGATCCTGATGCACAGTTGTATAACTTGAATTAAATTATGGTGCAAAACAAGAGCTCCCCCTGCAGGACGAAGGATGACATTCAGTTAAACATGGAGATGTGTTTGGTAAAAAGCTTGAGGTTTGAGAGCTTTTCAAAACTTATGATTCTAAAAACGAATTAGACTCTTGCTTTTGTAGTAAGTGGGACTGAATTATATCCCATCATGCACTGGAGGTGGAAACACTGGTCAGGTTTGACATTAAAGACATTTTTCCACCGTTTTCGACACTGCTGAACATGAACATATTTCTATATGTTTTACTTGCATATAATGTCATTGAGATTTAGTTTGAACTATTCACGTGTGTGTTTTTGTCTTGGACATGTCCATATGTTTTGACATTCATCATTTGCCAAGGCTACCATCTGGTGGCTGGTTGCAGTACAGGCCAAAACCCTGCCTCCTCCATGTTAGTGAATGGAAGATGACCAAATTATGTCATTTTTGGTAGTTCTTATCACAGGTTCGTATTTCTGATAAATGGTTTTGATTAGTTATTAAATGCTAAATAACAGGGTGAAACCTAAAGGTTGACAGCTGAGAGTGACTCTCGATTGTTCGTGCATGTGAATCGTTGGGACCTTGACACCCTGGCTTCAGTGTGGCATTCGTATCTTCGATATTTTGGCTTCATTTCTGGATAGTGGCAGGAAGTGAAGATGTGTGGTCCAGAAAGTCAAAAGCTGCTTTCAGACATGTACTGAACCCCAAAGATCCTCTGTAGTTTCTCTGGAGGAGGTGCCTGTGTGAACACAAATGTCCGAGTGAGAGCCTCCCAGTTTCTACAGACTTTCTTCACCTGGCCTCCTAGCATGTAGATGCTGTTGTGAATGCATCTGTGCATAGAACGCCCTGTAATGTTGTGCATGTATGAAAGGCAAACTGCGGGTAGAGTCCAGAGATTTGGGGTTAGGATTTTACTCGCAGGTCATGTCTGAAAATGGCTAATAGTTACCCCACAGACAGAAAATAAACTCTGAATGCATGCTGAGGATGAACATTGACCCAAACACAGTATTAAAGCGTCTCAACTGAGAATAATTATCTTGTGTGTAAACTAAACCTCCCTTACTGAGAAAAACTTTCTCCACTATCTCTGTATCACCTTAAATGTACTTTTACATATTTTTTTAATATATTTTACAGAAACAAGAGAAAACACAGGATTTTTTTTACTGTGCATAACCTTTATTTGTTACTATAGTTTTGCTACAGCATTTAATACTCATTTGGTAATGGAGTAAAATCAACAAAATCCGCTGACTTGTCTATTTGAAAAATATAAGAACACTTTGATTCGTAGTGCCACTATATGCAAAATATACTGAGCAGTGTCACTTCAGAGAATGATGGCAACATAAAGCAGAAAAACAATGAGGACACAATTCTAGTTCTAAATGTGACATAAAAATAGCATGAAGGTTAAATTAACTATTGAAGTAAATATAAAAGTTCAAATGGAAGCGACTTTAAAAAAGACAAGGCTCCAATATTTTTGTTATACTACACAATGTGATACTGTGAACATTAACACATAAGTACTTGTACAGGGAGAGAGTTTGGACTAATTTTAACACACCAGGATTATAACAGGATTGAATATCTACTGTGTGATACATGAAACCTCCACCATCTCTTCTTCTTACTATCAATGTATTGACTATCCATCAGTAATTACTTGAGGTGATACTGAGTGAGCTGTGGTTTCTCTACGATTGTGAGGCTGCAGAGCTAAAACCTCTTCCTCGTCTGCATTTCTTGTTCTTCTATGGGGCAGAATAGAAATGTTTTATTTCAAATTTTTATGTTGTTCATTTTATCGTTTCATCTTAAAAACATTTTTTTGTACTGTTGGTTTTGTAGCATTGACAATGCAACACTGTTAGATAATGTGTGATCCGACTAACGGGTACAAATCACTGATGTTTCTTCTTCACTTTGCTTTATTTTCGCATAATGTATGTGATGTGTTGTGCATCCATCTGCATGTGTGGAATTAAATCTCAGAACGTGCAGCGCTGACTTTGCTCTTGAAATTACCACTACAGCATCAAAGCGAAAGTGAGAGTGAAACACTGTGTGTCGACGTCGCTGTCTACTTACAATGCTGATTGATTATTGCTGTCCAAAGGGGAAACTGGTTTTGTTTGAGCTGCTGTTTTATAACCAGATACCTTCTAAATTCTCTTTAAAGGTACTGAAGTTGTTAGCATTGCTAGCAGGAAAGGCAGTGTTTGAGCACTTATTATTCAGAAGCCATGACATCCATCTCATTACCTGTCTATGTTCATTACTGTATTGTAAATATAGGTGAGCAAAGTGTTAACACATAGCATAAAACAATGCAAATTATATAATGACACAAAAAGCTGCAATGTTTTCACTCTTAAGTGAAAGATTTGATGGTAACAATACATCCAGTCAAAGGGCTCTCCACTTTGTCACATACAGTTGAATGTTACAGCAGCACCATATATGTGTTAAGGGAATTTCTTTATATATTATAAGTCTTTATATATAATTTAATTAAACATATTTGTGTTGAGGACTGCAACAAGGTGCAATATAAATCTATAAGAAGCATCATTTTCTTTTTTTAAATCTAAAAGCGTAATGATTATTACAGATATAGGTCCCAATGTATCTTATTTATAAGGAAGACCTGATCGAGACAGCACTTCAAAAGACCGTAATCTGATTTTTTTAAATAGCTGTTAAAACAGAAAATGAACAGTGTTCACTGCTGCATTTGTTTACTTTGCTTTTAATCTGATTTCTCCATGATTCCTCTCTTCTTTTTATAGCATTGTGAAACAATGTTGTTCAAGGTACTGTGGTGATAATGATGTCTATTACATAAAATCTTTCTCACCACAAAGATACATTTCTAAACAGAAGTCAAGGTTTGATTTAATTCAGTCATATGTATTTCGTAGTGCATTCATGGCTTCTATTCTTTTGCCTAAAATTAAAATAACAGAAAACAAAAATCCTTCCACATCGTTTCAGCCCATTGTGAGTCAAACATGTAAAAATGTCCACTGAGTTGTTACCCTGTGAGAGAGAGTTCATGGACTCAGAAGACCCACAGCGACCGGAAGTGACATCACCAGGGACAAAAGCCACGGCGCAGATTGGAACATAACGCTGATGGCAGAGCAGATCGGCAGGATCCCTGCGAAAGAGCAGAACGTGGGTTTAGATGTCGTTTGTGTCATTGTTGAGAGGGAACGCTCTCCCGGATCCAGGGGTGGGGCCAGGGGGACTGACGATTAAAGTACCTTCACTTATTGACAATAGAGAGTGTTTATTTATTCAGTGTTTTTTGGAGAGCACAATTTGCTTGAACAGACAACAATGTTCAAATTATATTCAATGATGTGTGGTTTTGAATCAAAGCTATAGAGCTAACAGTAAACAAGTAATGACTTAATTGAGCACCTTACTGAATCAGGAAATGTGTAGGAGAAATAATTGACCCTTTGCTGTAAATTGCAGCCCCTTATTATGGCCCCTGATTTAGAAAAGGTGTAGATCCACCACTGAAACAAAAGGGAAAAGTCCTAATGAGATTTCTACTCACGGTGATGCACAGCCATGCTGTTCTCTTTCCAGCTGCTGCCCTGGTAAACTCTGCAGGTGTAGGTGAAAGGTTTCTCGTCATCCATCGGGGCCCAGGTGAGGCGGCACAGAGAAGGAGTGACCAGGCTGACGTTGCTCCTCCGGCGGTCATCGTGGGACACGTAGGTGACGGCGTTGGGGTAGGTGCTGCCCACCAGCCGACTGTCCTGCCGGTATTCACAGTAGGGGCCAGGGACCTGGTAAGTGGGTGGGAACTCGCAGTCCACCCTGACGTTTTTCTCCAGGTAAGTTAGACATGGAAACATCTGGGGCCCACGTGGAGTGAAGAGATACATATACACTGAGTTCACTGAAAGAGATGTGAGCAGGAAGTGAGTCACTGATGCAGAGTACACACTATGATTATGACGGTCTTGAATCTATTATGAGAACAGGTCTGTATGAGTTTTGAAAAACTCAAAAGGTCGACCTGTCAAACTAAATAAGAATGAAGCTGAATGAATTAACAAAAATACGTTCAGCTCTAAACTTGCAAACATTGATACTATTGTTTCAAATCCAGTCATTATGAAATAAATGTATACATATATGTATGGACATGGATTGAAATTTATGAACAAATTCTTAGTGAAATTATTAAAACTGGTATTAAAGCTCTGCTGTCATGCTACCTATAGCTGCTAATTAGCTAAAGGCCAGTTTCTGTGGCAAGTGAAGAGTCTGTGTTAACCTTAGCTCTTGTTGGCTTGAACAACCACAGAAATGTCTGTCATTGTGTTTGATCTCCACAGGGTTGTGTGTATTTCTCTGAGGAACACTTAGAATCAACATGGAAAAGAGGTGGCCTAGCTGTAAAAACCTTTTGAAAAGTATATGAAATGAAAATATTGAAATAAAAGTCTCTTATACTATAAAATTAATAATACATTTGGAAGATTTCATAATTTCAGCTTTAAAATGTTCTAAAAAGTTTAGATTAAGATATTTTGACTTTTGTATACAGTTTTGTAATATTTTGAGTCTGTGCTGATATTTATTTTAATTTTAGGTTTTTTTCCATGATCAATAATTACCTGATTACATATTAGCTTTGAAAATATGAGCATGGAAAAAGTCGGAGTGTTGTCTGTGATACAGAGCTTTTGGGATGATGTAACCTACCTTTGCTACTCACGTGACCTCATCTCATTTATATTCATCTCAATGTCTAATTTTAAGTTGGATTGAAATAACTTTACCCTATCGTAATAAAACCAGTAAAACTTTATACATAAATCTTAACTAATATATGTGGTGAAACTGGCTAACGGTACATTTCGTGTAGTAGCATTTAATTTGTATCTGTTAGCCTGATATGGAGGACTGCACTGTAAAATGTCTGGCAGCAAAAGTTACCAAACTCTTCAGAAACACTTCTATAGAATTTTGTTAAACAGATATAAATACTTACATTCAGCAATATATATATATATATATATATATATTCATAGAACTAAATGCAATTCAACAAATAAAATTAAGGAATTGAATAATCCTGTAATATAAAATCCATAATTCTGATTCAATAAAAGTATTTAATTCCCAATAAGTATATTTTAATGTACAAAAAAAATACATGTAAAATGTGTTCAGTAAATGTATCTAACTTTTTTACAGTGCACATGGGCCAACTACAGTTACTCTAGATTTCCATAAGATGTATTAATATAACTTAATTTGGGCATTTAATTATGTTAAGCAGTATCCCAGTGTTTGGTTTCTGGCCACAACAACCTCCCATGTGTATCTTCCCGGCATGTAACATGTGACGTATGCCATGCCTGATCATATACTGTATATAAAAGATTACATGGAATGACACGTACTGTGAGACTGATGCGTTATCGTGATCCTGGCAAAGAGGAGACAGGCGGTGGTGATCAGGTGCAGCCCCATGGTGATCGGCCCGATCAGATCAGTAACCTTCGCACGCCACGTCAGATCACCTGGCAGAGTTCAACATGGGACGACATGAGAAAGTTGCAGACGCAGGCCCAGAGCACAGTGATCACAGCATGAGGAACACAGGATGCTAACGATAACCTGCAGACAGTGTCAACAAGCTGCTGCTGCGTTCATGCATCGCATGTGTGGAGCCTGGATGAGCTGCTCTCCCTGCAGCCTGAATGCAGACACGACTACGCCCATGCAGAGAGTCTGTGCACTGCAGCAAAGTACGGAGCTCCCCTCTCCCTCTCTGTGAGTATGCGCACAGTCTGTCCTCACTGCAGGGGACAGGGCCGGACAGCCAGGCGGACAACCAGCGGACACATGCAGGACAGATCTGATAACATGACATGTTCTACACTGACATGTCTGCGTCTGGTTTTCAGCCTTTGTGGATGCAGAGTGCTCGGTCTCACCTGGTGTTTGGTCCCGGTGTGGAGATGGAGTTGCAGCGCCCAGTGCCGTGGGAAGTAGGGGTGCTGGGGGTGCTGCAGCACCCCCTGTTGGAAAAGGCAGATATCCCATGAGATGTATAAAAACAGATGTAATATGTAATATTTAATAAAATATTTTTCTGTTCTCATTAACTTACAAAGAAATTATTACCTGGGGAAGTTTTTAGAAATGATTAAATACTGAATAATTATTACATATAAATAATGCAATGCATCATGGTATACGGGAAGTCACGTATAGTAGCTGCATCATCAGGTAGCTAGCAATGGCATGGAAAATAATTTCATATTTCTTTGGTAAATCACCAGCCTCTAAAAAGAGCACAACAGAAGACCAGTGGATGGTTTGGGATGGAAACCTTTAATCGATCATTCAAACCAGCTTGGTTTATTAAGTGGAAGTGGCTGCATTACGTTGCTGACACCACTCGAGTTGTCTGTTTTGCTTGCCTGAAAGTAATTGGGGGAAAAAGCTTATCAGTGCAAACAGTTTTAGGGCAGACAATCCATTCGTGGCAGAATGCTTTGGAAAGTGGTGTAAAGCCAGGGAAAAATTCAAGGAACACGAAAGATCTAAGTTGCACACCGATTCAATTCAAAGACGCTGCTTTGAGGAATGTGCTGATAAATTCTGTCTTGTTGGATGCTTTTTCCAAACAGCAGGAAACCGCACGTTGTGTTTTGGAACCCCTACTTTTTCAATCCTTTAGATTCCTGGGCAGCAAGGGGATCCTGTTCAGGGGTGACACCTCACGTGATGGAATTCTCTATGAGCTGATGCTGGAATGCAAATGTGATCTCCCCAAAGAACGAGAGTGGGTGACGAGAAGAGACAATTGGATTTCCAACACTGTACAAAATTAAATTATCCAACAGTTTGCCCGTGCTATTCAGAGGGACATTGTTCGCCCGTTCGGAGGTTGCGGTTAACATCCTTGGCCTGTGCCCAACGAAGCAGTGCATCTGCACCACAGCCATCAAACGCGTCTGTTTCTCTTACAGCGCTCTTCTGGCCACACTGAATTTGCTGAAAGATTACAAGAAGATTCTCAGAGGGGACAGCAGAGCAAAGATCAATGCCAAGCATTGTTTGAAGCCTGCAAGGCAGTTGGCCGGAGACTGCAGAGGCACAAGTTTGGAGGAAAAATTTAAATAGATTTTCTTCCATTTATCAGAAAACAAAGTTAAAACTCTGGGCTCAGATTTCATTACTCTCTTGTGTGTGACTCAAGCTTATAGTGACAAGGCTTCCCAACTGTAAGTGCTTCCATTGGGATATCTCTATAGAAAACAAGAACTTTGGTCTTTTTACTGTATTTAGATGTTCGTGTATTTATTTTTTTAAATAACCAATCGATTTTCAATTCCACTATAGGTGTACTATAGGACAAACGTTTTCTTGGTGCAAAGGAACACTTCCCTCTGCAGGGGAAAAAACTGAAGGCACCAACGCAAAAAGTGACAAAGCAATCAAAGGTTTTGGTGGCATCTAGTGTAAAAGAAAGGTGTGACACACTCTCACACCCCCTGCAGTGTGTAATTTGATTTAACCATCTGCAATCCAAATCACTCAGGAACTGATTTAGTTTTATTTCACTTTTATTAGCATCCAGGGAATTAGTTTCAATGGTGAATGAATTCAATAGACCAACACAGACCTAACAAAAAGTGAACGAAAAACAATGTCCAAATACTCTCTGTAGCATCCACTATAGTTTTGGTTACAAACAAAAAGTTGTTTTATGTATAAGTAGAATGTGGAAAACATACACATCTCTTAAACTGATCAACTTGGCATCACAAAATGATAAAAAAAAAATGTATATATATATATATATATATATAGAAATTCACTGTGGACCTAATGTGTTAGGTAGAGATGGAATAAAAGATGAACAAGTAGGTCAACAATCTACTCTCTGCCTACATAGTCCTATAACCTAATACACATCCAGTTCCCTTTGGAAAATACATATAGGCCACTGCTGCATTTTATTTACTTTACCTGAATTTATGTACAGTGAAAATGTTATATTGTCATCAAAGAGGATTAGTAGGAGCAACTCTCAATGAGAGACTGTAAATCTGGCTGTGACACACAGGTGTAGCACCATGGAGATTGGTATCTGTTTGATCAGATCAATAACCTTTACACAGCTTCTTTGCCTGGCAGAGCACAACATGAGAAAGTTGAATATGCAGCCCGCAGAACACCTTCAGGGATTCATATTAGGAACACACAAGAAGCTTTCTGTCTGTATTCAGACACAAAATGGAAACTGTCCTGTCACTGTGTCCCACTACAGTGCACAGACAGCAGGCCTAGATGTGCTGTTCTGACTGCAGCACAACAAAAACTGCAGGTGAGACAACCCACTTTGTGTTGTGTTTTGGGTCACTGGGACACAAAGATCTCAGCCATACTGCGTAGATCAAGCTTTGACATGGAATATAAACAATTTATATATATATATATATATACATATATATTTTAACACATGGAAACTTATATTGCAAGATGATGGATTAGAAATTCATATAATATACAGTATATTTGTAATGTTTTGACAATTATTAGGGGTGTGTTCAAAATAACCCTAGTTGGTAGACCCATATAGAGTCTAAATATGACAATAAAAAATGTGACGGAAGCATTTAGCCTGTGCCGTATCTAATGACAACCATTCATTCATATGCTGGTCTTTCTCTGAGGTAGAGTAAAGGAGAGTCAAAATAAAAACACACAAGACCTACACACAAACTTTGATTGTATGAGACACAGTTTCTTTAGGAATTCTGTAAAACTGTTCAAACCAGAACAACCTTTAAACCTTGAATAGCCAGTGACTTAATAAATACTGCAGATTGAATGTATTATTTATATCAGTTCTAATGTATTGTGTATTATTAAAGAAGAATATGTAATGGCTTTGTGCCTCATCTGCAGTGAATCAGCAGCAGCAGCATCCAGCAGAGGAATCTCTAATGAATACCTCTGGCAGGGATCACTACACCTGCTCTCTCTGCCTCTGACTGTCAAAGAAAAGAGACGGATGAGTAAAAAATCAATATATATTGTTAATATTTAGAATAAAATATCATGTAAGATGGTAATTATCCTCTGCTTTCATTGTTTGCTGTGTTTGTGCCTTTCAGAAAAGTCAGCAACACTTCATGCAGTGTCCTTGTTCAGCCACTGTCGAGGAAGGACCTTGACAAAATGGATGAGCTGAGGGAAGAGGAGGATACAGGAGGACATGGTGAGACGAGCTCAGTGGATTTAACAAGGAGAAGTGTGTGTGTGTGTGTGTGTGTGTGTGTGTGTGTGTGTGTTCTTGTACAGATATCTTTGTGAGGACTATGTTGAGTAAGAAAACCTACAGAGTGAGGACATTTTGTTCACTCTACACTTTTTGCCTTAATGGTGAGAGGTACAGAATGAGTTAGGTTAGAACTAAGTTTATTGTTAGGAATTTAGGCGTTTAGTTGTGATGGTTAGGGTGAGTGAAGGCATTATGCCAAGATGTAAGTAAAAATACAAGGACAGATTTTGATTTGGGAATAAAACTTGTGAGGGAATTTCCAGTTGATTAATTATTTAGAGCGGATAGGTCAAAGGTCAAGGTCAACAATTACATAGGTTCCAAGGTTCCAATAGGACTATAGACATGACCTAAAGCTTCCCTATATGAATCGATTAACCAATCATTTATCATTATATGGTATAAATTACATCATGATTAAAATATAAAAAAGATCCAGATGTGGGTAATATTCAGACATCTGTTAAAAAAAACAGTTCATTATACTCAACATAAATAGCAGCTCAAGTCTTCGTCTTTGCTGACATGTGGCCTCCGACCTGAGCTCACATCCCCGTTCTCGCTAGCATTTTTTGATTTAGCTCCTCTGGAGATTTTTGTAAAGGTCGGAGTAAAATGTCATCTTAGTGCATGAAGTGAACAAATGATGCTTTTCAAATTTACCTGGTAAAGTGTGAAGGCTACTCTGCATTGTTAAATGGTAAAATGCTAATGGTCTGTATTGAAATATCGATTTTCTAGTCCATTCTAGTCTTATCAATAACTCAAATTACTTTGCAGTCTGGGTCTAACACGTTCATAAAGCACAGATATACACAATACACTGTCGGCGCAGCTAATGGGGAATTTCGAGTTGAGTATCTTTCACAAGGAAATTTTGAAATGCAAACTGGAGGTGCCAGGGTTCAAACCACCAACAGATTGGTTTTGATATTACCTGCTCTACCTCGTGAGCCACACATGCATCAGTTGTGGCCTCCACATAGAGCTCTCAGTAGTCTAAATGTACCACGGTGTTACTGTGTAATATTTGCATAGTTATCTAGTATAAGCCTACAACAGAATACTCCAACACATATTTGTATCATTCTGTGTGTTCTTTAGTTTATGTGTTTTCTTAATGTATGCAGATATAAGTTGTGTGTGATAGATGTATTGAATTAATCTGTATGTTTATATTAAAATGTATATGTTATAATTTGTTGTTGCCATGGGAGAGAAGCTTCTTTCCCTCACTGAATAATGAGACGTAGAACATCAGCGGAGGTGCCTCAGCTCATCCATCCCTCAGTGCAATACTTCCATCTTTTCATTATGGGGCCGGACGTTTGAGTATTGACATGTGAGCCTGTGTCCTCCTGTAAAACATTGGGTACAAATCAATAGAAATCCTCACATAATACAGAGAGACGTCCCCAAAGTCCCCTCACTGGAGCAGCATTTTCTCCCACCTTCTCTCTCCCCCTCCCTTTCTCTCCCTCTGTCCCCCTCCCTCTCTCTCCTATGTTTCTTCTATAAGCCGACCTCTACTGTATCTACCCCCGGCATCACACTGCAGAGCACTGAGGGAAGCTCAAACTGCATCAGACAAGGTGAGAGTGATTCATATACTATCACATATGCTGAATCTCAGCCATGCAGGATCAAATACGGTATTTAACTGTGTCATTCAGAATGATCTCCTTGCTTTCTTTTACTCTGAATGATATTATCGGAGTCAGCACGAAAGCAAATGTATGAATGAAGGTGCGAGTGGGTTTGGATTGCTGAAGTGCTCCGTGTGTTTTCTTGACATCTCCAGTGGGCAGATAATCAACCCACAGGAATGCGTCAATGTTGGCAATTCACCAGAGAAGTTTGCAGTTCATCCCTGTGGAGCGCAAACACTGAGGCTGTTATTGACTAATATGGTACACTGACTTTTCTACACTCACCTCCGTGGGTGAAGAAGAGCTGCAGATATGGTGGTATCCCGTCTCTGAAACCCGACCCCCTACTCTTTACGGCACAGTCGGCTTTATTTGCTCAGAACCTCAATAATGTTAAGACGTTCAAGCAAAAGGAAAAGTCGGGCAGGATCTACTGCTGCTTTGAGTTAGCTGTAACTCTGACTAATCTTAAGGCTTGTTCTCTTTTCTTCTTCTTTGTTAAGGAGAGCTGCAAGAATGTTCCTCCTTACTACATTTTTCCTCTTCGGTAAGAGGATTTATTGTTCTTTTTCTGTAAATGAAGAATTTTATTCAAATCTTTATTTTTTTCTTGAATATTTTGCTCTGGTATTGATTATATGAATTTAATATCTCATAATCTTTGTGTTACACTGTACGTAGGCTTTGCATCAGCCCAGAGGGTAATACAGTTGACTTACTGCTCTATAGACGAGCACAACCTCCGGATGGATTGCAAATATGCTCTTTCCGGTGAGTCACCAGAAGTTTTTTGCAAGTACACACAGGGTGAGCGACTCCTCGACACCACCGACCCAGATGAGGAGCAGCACGCCCCCTTCAAAAACCGTGCCAGAGCTCGCATCTTCCCAGGCAACAACTGTCGCCTGCTGTTTAAAAACCTGCCCAACGGCAAGTCCAACTTCACCTGCAACATCAAACAGACCAACTCGGCCACAGTGTCCAAAACCTCAGTCGTGGAGAAAAGTACGATTCCGTTTTTTTTTTTTAACCACATCTGTGCACATCCTGTCAGGCACATTTAACATTTGAGTTGCTGCCAAACTAAACGCTCCTCCTTCTGAACTTGTATTATTCTGTCTTATTGCAGAGCTCCTCCTTCCCTGCTCAGCGTGGAGTGTCCTGTTACAAAGCTGCAGTGGCCTACTGCTGACCTTGATGACACTTCCGATGCTGCTGGAAATTCACTGGCTGTGAACGAGGGGCCAAACTGCAGCATACGTTAACACTGCACCCATAATCATCCGGTGACTGCATTTGGCCTTAGCACACGTTGTGTGTATGCACAAAGAGCAACGAGTGGAACTGAATGTATGTACTATATATGCTGCGTTTATGTGACAAGCCTGCATACTCAGCATCATGCTCCCAATAGTAAGCACACTACGTACTACTGCTGCATACTCTGTATACTCTACGGCGCACTTACATATAATCAGTTGTGGAAATACACCGTATAAACCTGTACAGACCACAGATGTGGTTCACAGGATGAAGATCAAAAAGCATGAATGTGACTCAGTCCTCAAATTGAAATTCTATATTCTGTATCATTAATATCAATGTTCAATAACTTTTTTGATTTTACTCTACGTAATCAAAGATATTGAGCTTAGCCTCCAGTCTTAATAGCAAGGTGGAAAACTTGTCAATGAGGGCTGCAAATACGATGGATGACTTAGAAAGATTTAAAAACTGCTTTTGCTTAAGCCTTTTAAACGTTCCCAGCTCGGTAATAATGCAACCCTGCACCCCGCAACGTGACATTATTGCTGAGTTGCATCGCTCTTTAAAATAAGCAATCTATTTTGCCTGACTGAAATCTGTCCCCCGTGTCTCTTTCTTGGCTGCCAAACAGTGAGAGGAGAAGGAGGCGACCTTGGGCCACACAGGTCCTCTGCTGGAAGATTGTGTTGTATTTGTCGATAAGAGCTGGGCAGGGCAGCACCTTTGGCTTTGGCAGGGATCAAACTGATGAGGAGGAGAGAAGCGAAAACTTTAAAGCTAAAAACTTTCTGACTAGTTAATGAAGCATGCATGAGCAATAAAGTCTCCATTCTATCGTAAAGAGACGACGTATAGAAAACCGAAACACACTCAGTGTTTATTTTGCCTTTCACTTGTGCCTAAGACACATGATCCATGTTCAGCCGAGGCTCGTAAGTGCACAGAATGTCTCCGAGGGCTAAAGGGCAGATCAACATCGATGGTCCTATTTATATATTTACACTGAATATGCTTTTTATGGTGCAATGTATTCTCTCATCATGTAAAAGATTTTGTACTTGTGTATATAGTTGAGTAGGTGGCGTGTGGATCAAGCACAAGCATTTAAATGCACTGAAAAGCTCTGCTGTATGTATTGTATGATGACACTAAACTAACTGCTTGTCAAATGAGACTAACCAACCAAACTGAATCATTCAACTGAGAGTTGAGACTCTTTTTCTCAAACACAAATATAATGTACTTGATAATTAAATATGTATGTGCATGAAGTCTGGTGTGCTTGACTTGAGTTAGTTTATCCTGTCCTATAGGGGGCAGCACTTAAATCACTTTGTACTAGTGTTTTACAGACATGAAGAAATATAAAAGATTTAATAAAAGGTTCTGTTAGGATAGGATGAGTTAGGTTGGGATAGGTTTGGTGTGGTTGGGTTAGGTTATGGGCTGGATTAGGGTAGGATAGGTTAGTTTAGTTAGGTTATGACAGGTTTGGATAGGACAGGTTGTGTTAGATTAAGTTTGGATGGGTAATCTTAAATTAGGTTATCTGAGGTCAGGTTAGGTTAGGGTTAGGGATTTTGCATGTGTTTTTGTATTTCCCACATTTACCTAGTTACACAATATTGACAAAGGTGTGCAGACAGCCAAGTAGAGTAAGTGAACGCGAGAACTTCACACCAACAATTCGAAAACCGTGGGCATTAACATGCTGCTACTACAGACTCTGCTCCTCTGAGAATCCTGCAAGATTTTGTAACCTGGATGAAGGGATTTGGCTCAAGCGATTTAAAGGCGTTAGTCATATTGTGTCACATTTGGCTTTGGTAAGTTGTGACAAGCTAGTTGGCCAGTTCATCTAAGGTCAGGGTTCTGTGATGTCCAGTCAAGTTATGGACAAAATTGGGAAATCCCTTTTGTTGATATTACTGTGTTGAAACAAAAAAGTTGGATGTATAGTCTAAATTCTGCGTTACAGCACTTTGACTTATTTTACTGCACAATGAAAATAAGGGGCTGATGCCAAATCATGAAAAATGCCCAAGCACCCCAAATTCTGTATACTTTTGACCATAAAGTGAATATTCTGTCATTTTAAGGAGTCAGCAGAAAAATATGTGCACATTAAAGTTAAAGTAATAGCACCCAACATTCCCCTTGTGGCCAATTATACAAGCTGAACAAGGTGACTCACACACTTGAGTCTCCATGTTGCTCAATAAATCACATTCATAACATAACAACATTACACAATAATGCACCTGCATTCTAAGCAACGAGGTTCAACTGTTTCACTTCCAAACTTGTTTCTCCTTTATTGAACATTGCAGGCGATCAGGTGTTTTATGTTCATTGTCTATTTAATTTTGGTGAATTTATTTAATTTACATGTGTAGAAATTAATCACATCATAGCCTATGTTGATTTTGTAAATACTGTATATCTACTGTAGCCTATGCTGACATTAGATATGCAGTAGATATGAATCAAATTACAGATCATTAATTGGTCAAAGTGCATTTCACACAGAGGAACCTGTCATTTATCTACAGAAACTGAGAAGAATGGAAAGAGAAACTGTTCACTGAAACAACAGGTGCTCAGAGAAGGAGAAACGAGGAGACGACATGATAGGAAATTAACTGACTGAAAAACATTTTTTTAATTTATCCACTGTAGCTGTTGTGTCAAAGTTGCAAAATTTCAAAATTCCATCATCATTATTTGTCGTTCTCATCATTGGAGTAACCATCAGATATTGGCTTATTTGTTTTTAACATTAAGACTTAATTCATATTATTTAGTTGGTGCACATGACGTTACTATTAGTTTAACGGCTCAATGGATCAGTAAAACAATAGTATTAATACCTGTAATATAAATTTCATATACAGCAATGTAACACATAAGTACGGAAGAGGATTAGGGCCAGTGTGGGAAAAAAAAGTGAGTTCTGACTTTTTTCTCAGAATTCTGAGTTTAAAGTCAGAACTTACTTTTTTTTTCCACAGTGGCCCTAATCCTCTTCCATATATAAGTATATATATTTGTCTTGAAAGAAATATGTGTCTTTGTGGTTACTTTCAATGTATTTCATATGCACTAGAAATAGGCCACACTTTGATCACATGCTGTGAACTTTTTTTTAAATTAAGCAACAACTAAAAAAGTCCTTAAAAAAATAAAAGTGACTTTTATCAAGATAAAGATCGAAACATCACATAGAATGAATGAAAATCAAATGTTTCTTCTGACTCCTCATGGATCCCATCTGTCCGGGGAGAGAAGAGAAAGAGATGAAATACATACAAATAAGGAAAACAGTGTGTCACAGCTGTTTCCTCTCACAGCTGAGAGAAGAATCCTCCCCTGAGTGTGAATCCATGTCACTTTGAGTGAGTGGAATCGAGCTGTTTCCTCCTCTTCAGGTTTCAGCTGCTCAGTTTCCAGTCGGACCTGTTCGTCTTCTTTCCCCTCACCTGTAGGCAGCCGGAAGTCACCCGCTGCTGGTTGTTGTTACCTGGGCGGACTCCTCAGGACAGAGCTCGGTGCTCACAGGCGGACACCGTCGACTCAGCGGATAAAAAACCGGGGGAATATCTGAGACCAGACGTTCACTCGACGGGAGGAACATTCATTTCGTTTCTTGAAACTTTCTGTTGGTTTCCAGGAGAGTTGTTGCGTCGTGTGATCGGAACAAACATGCTCGTCATCGGGCTGCTGCCCCTCGCTTTGTTCCTGTGCGCAGCCACAGGTGAGAGGTTTCTACTCAAACTCAACTCAGCTTGACTTTTAAAACGTTTAAAAAAAAGTCTTCTTCTGTTTTTCTAACTTTACGACACCAATGATGACGACAGCCAAGTGTTCATTGTGGCAGATTGCTTTAATTGTCAATATGAACCTCGCGGCCTGATCCTGGAAACTACAGGTGGACCTGCTTTGTTTATTTAAGGTTAAAGAGGCTGGTAACAATGTGAACTTGTTTTACATTTACATTTTAAATTGCAACAATAATTATAAAACTGCTTTTGTTAATAAGTTGTAAATTGTTTTACAACTTAATCTTTGATGTTTTCTTCAAAACAAGGTGTTGTGCAACAGATGCACCAGGCCCTCAAATATGTGGACACAAACAGGGGATTTCTTAGTTCCTCCTTTGAATAAATGCCATTGTGATGTGGTCACTGAAGTAGAGCTTCACTGTGCTTAACTAAAACAGCATGAAGGTTCACTACATTTTCACATTCCTCCTCCAACTGTGCAGATTATTAGTTTGAAGATAAGATCACATGCTCCTTTAGTAGTCCCACAATGGGGAAACGGACTAAAACTCACTAACTAAAATAGACAGAAGTAAAAGTGGTCAATGCGTGTACATGAAATATAAACACAAGGTAATATAAACATACTGTATAAACAGAATAAATGATCATTCATTTTATTATTCAGATTCAGGGTCCAGATACAACATGGATTAAAATAGAGATAATATATCGAGTGTAAATAGAGTATGTACAGTGTGAGTATGAGAATATATAGACTAACAGGATTGCATAGTAGCCGTTTTATTGCACAGATAGATTACAGCATAATGTTTTTAGTGAGGGTGGATGCTGAGCTCCCTGAACGTCCCTGTGGATTAGATTCCTTCTTTGCCAAGTTTTTCATTGATCTCACACGTGAACTGCATCCTGTGAAGAGAGTGAAAACTGGGAACACGACCCAGGTGCCCAGCTCTCTCTGCACTTCCCCTCTGAATTTTTGATGGTGAAACTCATTACGTGGTCCAGGTACTCAGATTTAATTTGTTCGGGTGAACGAATGCATTATTTGAAGTAGCTGCGAATGACGCCATGTATATTCTTAAACGTGAAGAATTTTCAGGTTGTTTGACCTACACATCAGTGCACCCTGCTTTCTAATCTGATCACCTTGAAAGTAATGTTATCTCCCCCTGCTGAAACTCTGAAAGTATGCAAACAAGGAAATCATGGAGTTCTCTGGTTTCACTTTACACTGGAGCTCTGTCTCGCTCCACCAAACCAAAACTGTGACGGTGCTGCCATATCTCACCTGAGACCAGCTGTAAAAAATGTCTGCAGGGCCCTGTCTTTGAAGCACCTGTACAATAAAAGTGCCACTTGTAAATTTGAATGATCAACTCAAGTAAATTTAAGGCCCTTGCCTTTGTCATTTTGTTGTGGGCTGTGTAATGTACACAATGAATGACTCAGCACGCAGTTGATGATTAACTGGCTCCTGTTCTCTGTCGTAGAATCTCTCTCCTACTTGTCAAACAACAAGGTGGCAGTTGAATCGTCTGACTCCAAACTCTTTATGTAATGGCAGCGGTGTAATGTTATGTTATGTAAAGTGATGCAACGGATGCATAAATGAGGTGACAGACAGGCTGGCCTCCGTGTGCATGAATGATTTAGTCCCCCCCGTGTCTGGTGTCAGCCCCTTCGTGCCTGAAAAGACCAAGTATCAGTCAGACCTGCTCATGGTTTCACAGGAAGTTTTCTGGCTGAGCAAAGGAGAGCAAGCCACATTTTTGTTGTCCACACCCAGATGGCTCGTGAGCACGCATTGTTTTAAAAGGGGCGTGTTCTCTGATCAAGTGCTTTTAATGTGATCTTTGAGAGGATGGTGAGCTGTGATCATACCTTTTTTCCTTTATTGGTAACACACATGTAGATCTTTAATGTCTGGGAGTGATATAAAATCGATTTGAAAGGCGGCAGCTAACTATTATCTTCACAATGATTCACAAACCAATAATCTTCTTGACAAATCGACCATTTAGTCTGTAAAATATCAGGAAGTATGTATTACAGAGGGTCATTTTCTCAAAGGGCAAAATGACCTCAAATGATKATTCATTTAATTTACTATCCTGTAAATAATAAAATAGTTCCTGACCAGGAACCACTGTTTTTTTTTCTCAACTGATATTTATTCTTTGCTGTACCAATATTAGGTATAGTACAACATTTTTGCTTCCAATTAAATCAATAATATATTGAAAATACAAACCAATGTACAAAACATGTTATTTTACATGAATGCACACTGCATTTTTTATTGTATAAAAGGTAAATGAAATCTTGCATATTGTTGAACAGTGATACCAATGTGTCTTTGAAAGACTCATATTGGCCAAATTATGTATTTGTCACGCTCTATTTACTTTTTTTTAAACTGACAGCAGCAATTTCACACATTATTCTTGAAAAGTCAAGAATTTCTGCTAATTTCTATCCCAACAGCCTCAGTTCAACAGCCTCAATATCCAGGGCTGCTCTTTGTGTTTTAGTCTCATAAATATTTCAACATAGAGTTTTTTTTAAATCCTCATATGAGGAAGACTAAAAATACAGGTTTCCCTTCCAACCCCGTAAATACAACATGGCTGTTCTGTCTGCTTTGGATTGGTGCTGCTGCAGTACTCACAGAGAACACTGCTATCATCGACCTAATAATCAGAGTGATGATATTCATCGAGATTGAAAGGTGTTGCTCCACTTACAGAAAATGAGAAATAACACACAGCACCTTCTGGTCTTTTACATCAGGAAACCCAAAAAGTGACTGAGCCTTTTCACTATCTAAAAAAATATTCCTATTCACTATTCCTGTGTAAAAGTACATTGTGAATAATATATTTTCCCTTTCAGTATTTAGCTTGAATTTATTTATTCCACAAATATCTGTTCACTAAAATAAGTGTTTTTTTATGTCCCTGTGTTTAGGTGTAAGAGGCTTCACAGTCACTACCAGTAATGCAGATGTGCGGGTGAAAGAGAACGATGGTGAGTCCTGAGAGCGTCAATGAATTTGAATGTGGAGGGTTTGTCGTCATCATGATGTTTGTATGGACATTGCTCTGTGAGATGATTGTGAAAGCAAAGACAAAACACAACTGAGCCTCTTTCAAGCTCTGGGTATTTTCATTCCATAGTTATATTGTCATAAATAAAGTTTTGGGATTGTTTTCTTAAATAAATAAAAAGAAGTCATCTTTGATATCTCGTGTAGATTTGTGTTTTATCTGTATTGTTATTATTATTATTAGGAGTGTAACGATTATCCATCTTGAGCTGATAAAACCTTTGCTGCTGGTATTATCTTGATGATGATTATTTGCGGTCGAGATAAAAGATTTTGGAGATCTGTATTGCAGTTTTGCACTTGTAGTAATAATGACCATATGGGTATGGTATGTTTGTTATTTCAGGAGCTGACCTAAAATGCACTTATTCGGGGGACTTTGGTTCAAATGCCAGAGTTGAGTGGAAATTTAAGGACTTAAAAGGCTCACAGTCGTATGTGATTTTTGACGGAAAACCAACAAGTAAGTAGTTGGAAGTTACTCTCTTTTGTTTATCAGTCTATGCAAACCTTTTCTCACTTATTATAATATTTTCATATTATTGTCCCGTTTTTATATTTAGAAGAATATCTCAAAAACTGCTATTTAAGATTGAAATGAAAATTAGTAGAAAATTAGTTCAGCTCACTCTATCCATGCACACGTGTTCCATTTCTCAAAACATTCATATCTCAACCCGTCTGATATGAAATTTTAAAAAAGGTATTCTTTTTATTTCCATACATGACAGATAATTGTTGGCAAAATCCTTGTGCGTTGCAACCACACATTCTGTCTCATACAATTCTGTAATGTCTTAATCAATTGTGACGATGCACACAGATTCAGTTGCCATTTACAGGCTGTGTTTATGTGATGCAGATTGAAAGTTTCTAACTTTAACAAATAACAATTTTAGAGAATCAGGAAGCTTTGGCCCAATTTTTTTCCTTATGTTATTTAATGCAATGCCTTTTGTGCAGCACCATATGCCGGACGAGTGACGCTGTACGACGGCAATCTTAGATTCACCAAAATGACCCGTGTTGACAACGGAGTGTACGACTGTGAGGTGTCTGGCAACGGGCATTTTGGGGAAGTCAGGGTGAAGGTGACTGTTGAGGGTAAGGATTGTGAAAACCAGCCTTTCTGGTTTTTTCCACCCAAACACCCATCACTGTGAAATCACTGATATTTGGAGATAAACTAAAGTCCTGAGTTTGAGAGTTGTAATGTACATGAGTAGACCTGCTGATAACTGAACATTATGTCCTGCAGTGCCTCCATCTGCACCACTGTGCAGGATCCCCACCTCAGTGACAACGGGCAAAACAGCCATGCTGACCTGTCACGACAGCGTTGGCTCACCACCTCCCAAATACAGGTGGTACAAAGATACCACACTCCTGCCCCCCGATCCACACAAGATTGCTGGCTTCAAAAATTACACCTACAAGCTCAACCCAGAAAATGGCAACCTGGTCAGCTTCTTATCTACCATTACTTTGTTCCATCTTAACTGTGAGCGTTGTGGCTTTTTAAACTGAAGACGTGTCATGTCTGTCTGCTCAGGAGTTTGTCAGAGCAGCCAAGATCGACTCAGGCTCGTTCTTCTGTGAGGCTTTCAATGATGCTGGTCCTCCTCAGCGCTGCAAAACAGTGAAAATGGAAGTCCGTAAGTGCTCTTCACTTTCATTTCAACAGCTCGTGAGATTTTCCGCAAGAAAAATATTTTGTATTTATTTATTATTTAACAACTTCCGGTCAGTGGTCTGACTGCCCTTACAGGACATTAAACTGCTTTGTTATCAATAGAGAATATCATCAAATTTAATCATAAAGACACAATCTTCATTTGTAGTTTTTTTTATGTTTGGGTACTGAAGTAGTTTGAGTTTTAATTTTTAAAAAACATTTTTTAATGAAAGGTTACTAGTTTACCACTTCACTGTAATTCAATGTATCCTCATAATGTGATGTTTTCTTTAAGGTGACCTCAACACTGGAGGAATTGTTGCCGGGGTATTAGTTTTTCTGCTGCTTCTGGCCCTGCTGGCACTCGGCATTTGGTATGCTCACAAGAAAGGATACCTGCCAAGTAAGTGCTCAACACTGCATTAAATCTTAGCATTTGATACGATCATCAATATTCTCATACTCAATGTTGAGATTTCAACAAACCTTTGGAAGAGGGTTGTCTGGAAAAATCCTACGTTTTATGTTGCTCTGGCTAACGCTACACTAACGGAAACCACTTCTAGTTCACCTCTCTAAAGGCAAAACAAAAATCTGCAACTGCTGAATCTTATACACTTTAAAGATGTGGCATCAGATTGGTACATAGATTCACATATTCGCGATACACTATCCAGCATTTTCAGCAGAATCAGAGCTGGTATTGTAACTTCTACAAACAGTTACGGTTAGTGGCTAATTTGATGAACCTTTAATTGTGCCTGTTGCCAAATTAATGTAAACTTAAAGGCAAAAAAGGCCACAAGTTTAACTGCAAACTCACTGACGCCATGGCAACGTAATGCTCTTTATTCACATCCCCCTAAAGACCCCGGATTAAGGGGATTACGTGTTGTCGTAATTACTTTGACTTGATTGAAGCCCACAGTGTGAGTCTGTGATAATATGTAGGTTACACTGTATAAATTTGCATTTCTATATTCTGGATTATTAGATTTCACTTTTAATTTTCACCACTTAAAAGAAGATTCTGAAGACTCCTTTAAACCTCAGCTTGGTCCCATCATCATAAAGCATGTCCTCCATGACACACAGTCATATCACTGTCAGTTAAAACAGCTGTATGTGTTTCAATCTGTACCAAATACTTCATCCTACTCATGGTGTTTCCCTTTTCCCCTCCGCAGAGAAGAGTGACAGGTAAGAGATTGACTTTTTTAAATTCTTTTTCCTGGATTTTAGCAGATAATCAACAAGCCGATCTTTCATCTCCGTCACTACCTCAAAATGTTTTTTTTTATTCCTGCAGCAAACCAAAGCCCAACGTGGTCTACCAGCCTCCATCTCTGTATGGCGGTGAAGATGAAGATGTAAGGATGAACCTGCCTGTTTTTGAGCTATCACATGCATTGTTGTTATCTCAAATCTTAATATCACAATTTTATTATGCGTTTATTTGGATTCTTGGTGATATTTATTTGATATGTTTGTTTGCAGAGGGATTTCAAACAGAAGTCGTCATTCGTGGTATAGTCCACAAGAAGATGTCGCTACAGGAGAGCACCCCAGGTTTCAAATTGCTCTCAGCTTGTTTTTTTTCCGACAGTTTTCTATTCTGTTTGGTAATTTACTACAGATAGATTTTAGTGGAATGTGCTGTGACTTATTTTAGCCTCAGACATTTCTCTAGCTATGTTTTGAAGTGTGTGTGTTTCTAAGTTTTGTTTAAAAGATTCATCTTCATGTAAATACTAAATGTAGCATAGATTATGTCAGCACCACCACTAATTGGATTTCTAATGAAGTAGTTTTTGGTAGCAACAAACATAAAGTACAATGGACTCAATTTTCTCTGATAATGCAGCGTCTTTAATAGAACTTCTTAAAACTCGTACAGATTTTTATTACATCACCTTCATTTAAGTCTAATCTTTGTCTGTACCTTTTTTTTAACAGTGCACAAGATATTGTAATGTAAAGTATTCTTTCTGCAATGATCTATTAAGGTTTTCTTCCTTGTAAATAACATTTAAAAAAAGTGACATCATTTGAAAAACTAGGAAGAGTTTTTACCGAGCTCCTTGACTTCATCTGTGGCTGTTGTTTGTATGACTTAAATGTTATATGTGTACATTTTCCTTAACATATCATTAAGTAGTGTTAGTGAAATATATTATGTGCCCACATGTGTTGTCTCAGAAATACATTCGCAAACAACTACGTTGACAGTTAAATCATGACATTAGTTTCATCAGCAAACAATTAATGATGTGTTGAAACAAGTTAAACATCACGTGTCACCTTTTCATAACCATTATCTGCCCCAACTGTCACACAGCCTGACATCATGGTTCTGTAGTCGACCTCCAGACATTGAAATGACAGTCGATGATTTTGCATCGTCCACAACTCTCAGTTCATGTGTTTAGGTAGTTTGCTTCACTGCATATTTTCTGCATAGCTTTGCCTTTTATAGACATTTTAGAGCTGTTGTGTCAGCTGATGATTGTAACACTGTTTTATGCATTGGTTAATAAAATGTTTGTTTTACACTTTTTTTCTCGTGTTTAGTATTCAGCTTTACTCAGTAAAGCCTCATCAGAAAAAGCTTGTCTTTTTTACTTTTGTTTTTCTTTTTATGTCTGAGAAATGGAAAGTAGATTTTTACTGAAAAGGTCAATTGCTGCAGATTGAAGAGAGATGAAGACGATGCTTGGTGTTCTCAATAACAAATTATATTATTAAGGATCCAAGAAAAAAAAAAGTTTACCATGGAAATTTGACTACAGCCTCATTAGCCGTCTGTTCCAAGAGCTGCACTCATCTATTTCATCATTATAATACTCAAAAGTGCACAGTCATGCAGTAAATGCATAACTTACTCCCAAAGCAATGGATCAGTAAACAGCATGAAGCATACGGATTCACACGTGCATCATCAGCAGTCTGGCTGTACATGAACTACTGTTTCTGTGTGTGTGTCCTTGTGTCACCCCCTTGTGTCCACATGGTATAAAGATGACGATCACTTGTGACATTAAAACCAGCAAGTAAAAAAAAAAAAAGAGAAGAGGAATTTGCTTCCACCTTGTAACCAGTCACAACAAATGTCTTCTGTAACTTGTGGGGGAGAATTGTTGAACCAAGTGGATTCTAAATATAAATGTGGAAATATGAAAGTTTAGAATCACTACTGATGCAGACAAATTACCCGTTTACATTTGTCCAAATCTGAGCATGAACAGATTGTTTAATCACTAGGACCAAACATTTTTCTTACAATGTGAATAGGCTATGTTTTTTCTTTAACTGCATCGTGCTCACGTGAGAGACTGATATTCCTTTTAATGTCCAGTTAGTGCATGTCCAGGCTGTCGCCACAGTCAGGTTTCAAAATAAAATGCATGCACTCAAAGTGTAGGATTAAACTGTCCACACAAGTTCTGATGTTCACCATGATGGACTGTTAACTGCTTAATAATCAATCACCACAAACAATTTTCTAAATAAAATACATGCAGTGCAATGGAGAAATAAGCTGATATCTTATGGAGTTTTTATCTATCTTTATTCAAGAGCGTGTTCTTTCAGTTGGAGTGCATGACTTGTTGAATTTTTATTCAGATTGTGCATTACTCTTCATCGTGCACTGTCTCTTTAATACAAGTGTACTGTATCTTTAAGAAGACTGTACTGTCCCTTTAATAAGAGTGTACTGTCCCTTTAAGATGACTGAACCGTCTGTTTAATTAAAGAGACCGTAGTAAAGGGCTGACTCTTCTCTCTCTCTCTGCTCTGGATTCATTCATAAATAAGACATCTTGTTGAGAGGAAGCTGATCTGGGAGCATCATGTTCTTCATCCAGTGAACCGGATGTGAAGGTCGAGCAGGATCCAGACCTGCTCACCACCTCAGCGGGGGAGACTGTGAGTCCGGGGCCGATGGAGCAGAGCTGACTTCCCGGGGCTGACCCCTTCATGTGCGGGCCGACAGGAGGCAGCTCGGTCCAGCCCACTGCGTCTGTCGAGCACCGAGAACATGCTCGTTTCCTCGCAGGGTTTGGTGTTTTCTACGCGTTTCCGCTCAGCACAAGTCCTCCCGGATTAAAGAGCCCGACGAGTCCTTCCTGTTTCAACCTCTGATCGTTTCTTGATTCGAAACAAATGTAAATACGCCAGAGGAGCCGAGGACCGGACACTCCGATGGAGCAGCAGTGAGATATGGCAGCGAAAGAGGACGACGTGTACGCCAAAGTGACCCCGCGGAGGCAGCGCCAGAGCCGGCCAACCACCGTCAAACATGGGTCCGCTCTGGACGTGCTGCTGTCCATGGGCTTTCCTAAAACCAGGGCGTGAGTGCACACACACACACACACACACACACACACACACACACACACACACACACACACACACACACACACGCACGCACGGTTTCCAATCTGCATCATCAACATCAGCAGCTGCAGAGAGACAGTACATGTCTGCTTCTCACTGTGCATGTTGTTAACACATGTCCCAGGCTGTGGTTTCCCCTGTTAAACTGACAGTTACACTCTTCCATACACATTCAGTCCATCGACAAGACTATTCTGCAGGTTTAAATGTTTTTAAATCAGATTTATGTGTTGTCCCTTTTTAGTGGTGAATATCACACAAGAAATAAACCTAATTTAAAGGGATTATTCACCCCAAAATGAAAATCTACTCCCCACTATGCCGTTGGATGGGTGGGTAAAGTGGTATTTCAGGGGTAAACAGTGTTGCAGCCAAATCCAATTCAGTTGAAGTACTTGGTGACCACTTCTTCAACCTATATAAAACAACAGAAGTACAACATAATACTGCTTCTGTTGTCTTTCACGTTTGAAGAAGTGGTCACTAGTTACTAAGAAGTGTTTACCAGTTATAACCAGTTCATTTTCAGTTTCGGGTGAAATATCCCTTTAACATCAGCTTGGATGTTGTAAGTAAGTAAGTATATACTACCAGAAAAAGTATATACTACCAGAAAAATGACCATAAAAGTATTAAAAGTACTACATGCACACAGAATAACTCCTGTTAGTCTTATGTTGCTATATATTGTATAATAGGATTTCTATTACTGATGCATGTGGCCTTTTAATGCTGTTGATGGTGAAAGTGGAGCAAATTCATATAACTGATGAGTTAAATTAATTATATTACAGTGCAACACATTTGAATTGTTAGATGTATACCTGATGGCTCCTCTACGCTTCTTTTCATTCATCCCTGAGAGGAGTGGTTGCCAGGAAACGAGCAGTATTGGCTTGTGATTGTAGCCTGTGGATTATGTAATGCCATTCAAAAATGACGAGTGGTCATGAGTGGTCATGAGTTGTCATGAGTGGTCATGAGTGGTCATGTGTAGTCTGCTTGCAACTAGTGGGTTCAGACATAGCATAACGGTGAATGAGTATTGATAATATCCATACGTATTTTGTTTAAATGGGACTGCAGATGATTGTTTAAGTCTCAGTGATTGAGACCATCAATCAACAGAGCCAACTTGCTTTTAAAACCGAGAATGAGAGAAATAATAAGAATGGTAAATATAGACGTGCTGCATTGTCAATAAATAAGAGAGTAACCTGAACCAGCATGAATCATTTTAGGGCTCCTATGGCCACAGACACTTAATGTCGGTTTAAAAATTTCAATTTAAGTTCTGCACGGCTCAGTTTTTACATCTCAGCCTCCTCTTACTGCACCGGCTCTACCTCGTCAGATAACCTACAATCATAATGTCCCCGTCTCATTGTTCCTCTTGTCAGTGATACACCCGTTTTATATTAAGCCTGATGATTTGAACAGCCTCGCCTCACACAAAAACCCTTCTGTTGGTGCAGCAGGGCCCCAAACTGCATCCAATGTAACAAAATAAATTTGAATAAGTTCAATATTGTCAGTGGCAGGAGTCATCTGCGAGCTCTGTGATTAACTCCTAGATCTATAACAGTATCTGCTTTGTCGGATATAAAACCTTCTCCCAAAGTAAAACGAGGGACTAACATTTATTGTTGAGTGTTGACAGTTTTATGAGTTTAGCTAAGTAGGATAGAAATGGTGAAGAGTCACTTTTCTTTTAACTACACAGATGCCTTATCTCAAAAATAAAACCTTCCTTATCGGCCTCTAAACTAACTGGAAGGTCATTCAGGCTTTGGTGGTGCCTCCTCCTGCCTCCTGAACCACCGCAGACAAAGTGAGCAACTTGATTTGGTTATATATGCAAAACTCTGGCATCTATTATTGATGACACACAAACTCACTTTAATTTGTTTTGATTGAGGCTATATAATTATGGTGAAGCAGAATAATTCAGCGTCATTACCTTCAAGCCTGTCTGGCCCGATATCAGTGAGGACACAATAACTGAACACTGGCAAAGGAACACAAATGGTTGTATCATACAAAAGATGAACATGTGAACAGCCTGAAAAACCTGATCACCCTTGGTGCTGGAGTTTGTTGTATTAGTTTGATGTGACTTTAACTCCAGTAGACATAGATATAAGTGAGAGAGTATTGGTTAAGCTGGGTATCATTAGAAATATTTTCGTATTATTTTCTAATATTTCTCATGTTTCTTTAGCAGTGTTAAAAAGATAAATCCATGGACCTTGGGTCTTTTCTACTCTATTGATCATTTCTGCTTCCTTCAGTGTTTCGTATTGATTTTACAACTCACAACCTTATTTTGCGGCAGCTCACATTAGTGCCAGTGAACCACAAAGTGACCTTTACTCATCCACTTAAAAAAAAACAGGTGGGTCCAGGGTATATTGGTATATGTTTAGAGGAACCATCTTGGAGTTTACAAAATCCAAGTAGTATGAAGCCTTGTTCCCGACAATAGGGAAGAAACATATAAGTCACACCAATAATAAGTAAATTTTATTCAAATGAGTATTGAAAGGACTAGTTATTGAATTACTGTCTCTTCTATACGCACTGTACATTACCTGCCACAACAGGCAAATGTTCTGATAACATGTTTGTCATAACTTCACAATGGAGGTTTAGTTTTGTACAAACACGAGCAGCAGTTGAAGAATTTTGACTAAATATAATATAATCTGAAACTGGGAAAATGTTGTTTTGATTGAGGATGTGTCCAAAATATCAAAAATAAATGTCAGGTTTGCACGTTTTGTTGGCATTTCTATAAATGGTGGTGAGAGAGGGAATAATAGGAAAATCAGTTATCAGTCATAGCTTCAGGGAACAAGAGCTTCATTGTGTTCAAGCACTAGCATGAATCATCACAAGCAGACAGCAAACAGCCTCTGTGATTTTAATTGGGGAATTTTCTGCTGAGTCATTCAGGAATTGACCAGTGTAATCGGATAGGAGCTGGCTGGACAGGGACCTGTCTCGCTGTGCTGGCCGGAAGACACATAAGAGGCTATCCTCAGGTTATTTCCCTGTGACTCTGGTAGCATTAGTGTGCAGTGATTGGACAAGAGTTAGATCAGGCTTGGTTGGACTACAATTAATTAAATTGGGTGGAGTGCTGTTAAATGCTTATGCCAGGAAAGCACCTACTATTATGATGAGTAAGATCTCTCTCCATTTGTCATTTGTTATCAAAATGTTTCTAAATGCACTTTCAGTTTTGTGTATAAGGTTTTCATCTTTCTTGGGCTGTGACAAATTGTCAATAAAGACTTTATTTATATAATGAACTGTATGTAACATATCTTTCCCAGATTCCATAGTCCTAGAATTCTGGTGGCTAAATACTTGTCTACAAATCATCATAATTGTGTTAAATCTTTAACTGCAGAATGTTAACTTCCCTAAAACACTCATCATTTCCTAAATACAATTCAGAGGAACACTGCTCTCATTCAGTGATGCACGCTTTCATGGGAAAACAGATGACTTAATTACTCCTTCAGTGTATGAATCATATGTTCATGTTTCATTAATGGAACTTGTGAAAGTAGAACTTTTTTTACCACGGTGGTAAGAGTGGGTTAAGTTTTAACCTATTGTTCTGTTTCCATTTCCTTAGTATTTCAGTTATTGTGCTTGTGCATAATAAAAAATACTGGTTAGCCAACTGGTTACTATTGCATACAGAACATGACCTAGTAAATATATAAATTTATATCATCATTGATGTGTGTAGTTTGAAATGTTATGTACTTGTGCTGCATAGCTGTAAACATTCATCACAAGGATGAGTCCCTCTGTTGCTCGGCTGGACACAGGAACCCACAGTAGTGGTCATAATATTTTATAAGTGGTTTTGAGAAGCATGAGAAACTTCAGAACACCAAAGTGAGCTGACAAGCACGTCTGTGGCTCCGCCATGTCAGCCATGCGTGAAGCACGAACCTGCCTCAAAGCAGCCATGAAAAAAACTCAACTGAAATAGAAACACATTTGAATATGATGCAGTTTTCTATCATCTACTGCAACTTTGTTTAGTTTAGTTAGGCCCTTTGTCAGCCAATCTAGTTCTAACGTTGAACCAGAAGAAGAGGAGCAGTTTCTCGTAAAGGAGCACAACACTATCATGTGACATTTTACACCAATCGCAGACATTCTTACAGTGATGCTAGTGTGTGGAAAATTCAACGACCACACTTTGGGGCAAAGAGCTTGTGTCTGGATGTGGAACCTGAAGCACATATAGTGCTTTATTGTTATTTTCCAGCACAAGTCATTTTTAAATAAGTTGTTATACGCAGATCCTCCATTGATAAGGTAATTAACTGGCAAATCATTATCGCTAGAATAACCCCATGATAAAGGCCGGTAGGACTGACTGAGCCGGATGACATCTGACAACACAACCATGCGTCATCACAGTTCACTGAAATGTAAAAAATAGCTTTTATTTTGAAATGTTTAACAGCGATACAGTTCATTTAGCGTTGCTCATTTGATACAGATGAAACTGTCTTAAGGCCCAGACATGTTGACGGTGTGTTCCATCCTGCTTCCTGAGCAAAAACATAAAGGTCGCTGTGGTTACTGTGCTTCATCAGGCTATATAAGGTAAATTCACATTTTCTCTTCACCCAGCCTTTTGTGTGTTGAAGAGGAAGTCAGAGTGTGAGTCGACTAAGTGAGACTTAACTCTTTAATCATACATGTAAAACCACATGTAAAACTTTTATCTACCATGCAAAAGAAAAAGCACTGTTACAAGCCACTTTGTCACATAAGGGCTCCACATAATCTCGGTAATAGTGACGCATATTGTGCACAAACTGTACGTCACACACTTTCTGCGTGTGCAGCTGGAAAACACAAACTACGCTTCTAGACGACCAAGAGGAAGTCGCCCATTTCCGGAAGTGGCTTGTGACCT